GGGGAGGGGCTTGGCACGCACGCCTTGGGGGTCCTTGTTGGCTGGTGGGTGGGGCGGGGAGCAGAGCAGTGGAAACAGCACCTCTGCTCCCCGAATGCCACCTGCAAAGGTTAGCCCTATCCTGCCCGGAGCCCAGCGCTCCCACCTGTCAGCACCTGGACCCTCGGTGGCCACTCACATGTGAATGAACTCTGACCTTAGTCGGTCCCGTTTGGGGCAAGGAACCAGGCGCAGAGAGGCCCGGCAAGGGGGGTGAAGGGCGCAGTCTGCAGACTCCGCAGCCCCTAGGCCACCCTGGCTCCTCCAGTCCCACTGCTGGGGGAGCCCCCCTCCCCCAACCACAGCCACCTGGTCCAATAAGAAAAGTGACCACTGGCAGCACCCCAGGTGTCCAGGGCTTGGAGTGCAGAAGGGTCTCTCCCAAGATGAGGGCATGGGGGTGTGGGGCAACCTTGCTTGTCTTTCTAAGACTTATTTATTTATTTATTTGAAAGGAGAGTTAGATAGAGGCAGAGGCAGAGAGAGAGAGAGAGAGAGCGCCAGCTCTTCCATTAGCTGGTTCACTCCCCAGATGGCCACAACAGCTGGAGCTGGGCCGATTTGAAGCCAGGAGCCTGGAACTTCTTCTGGGTCTCCCACGTGGGTGCAGGGGCCCAAGCACTTGGGCCATCCTCTACTGCTTCCCCAGGCCACAGCAGAGAGCTGGATGGGAAGTGGAGCAGCCGGGACTCGAGCTGGCGCCCACGCGGGATGCCGGCGCTTTACCCGCTACGCCACAGCGCCAGTCCCCTGCCCCAGCCCTTCTCTCCAATGCACGTTGGCCAGTCCTTGAAGAAAGCTAAAATTCTATGTTAAAAGGGCATTACATTCTGCCTTAAAATTTACATGGAAATGGGACATGAAGCTACTTCCAGCTTTCAGGAAGCTGGCCTGGAATACTGTTCTTAGATTTGATTCGTTTGGAGAACTCACCCCACGGAACTTCTCACCTTTCTTGGAATTAACACATAAAGATGGAGGAGGAAAGGGCCAGCTGGTGGGCGGGGCCTCCCCGGGCCGACTCTGTGCCAGGGCTGTGTGCTGGGGCATCCCGGCCGTGGCTGCCTGTGCCAGTGCCCTGCCGGGCACCGGGGTGTGCACAGCACCTCCTCACCCTCTCCAGCTCCCTGAAGAAGGCGAGCCCCGCCCTGCCCGTGCAGACGAGAAAACAGCTCAGGATCACACAGCCTGGAGCAGTGCTCAGCCCAGCCGTAAGGCCTGGGGCTGTTTCAACACCCCCCCCCCCCCACCACCACCACCATGATGGGTCCCAGGGCTGCAGCCAGGTGTCTCTGGGTCCCAGTCTCTGCCTGCCCCTGCTCTGCGAAAGCTCCTGCCAGCCGCAGGCCCAGAACAGGCCTGGTCCCGGCTCCGGCTCAGGAGGAGTTAGGGCTGCAGCCTGGGCCCAGGCACGGAGTGGGACAGGCGGCCCCAGGTGGGGGTTGGGGGCAATGAGAAATCCTGGCCAGGACGGGGCCTGGCAGGCACCTGGAGGCCCCTGTGACGGGTCAGAAAAACGACTACACGGGCGCACTCGGTTCTCATCACAGACCCCTGCTGCTGTGGGAGTGGGGAGGTGGCGGCGGCGGCGGCTTGCCCGGCTCCCAGCCTCTCTCCCGCGGCCACTTGAAATACAATCCCGTTCCCCACGGATCACGCCAGGTGTTGCCCGAGCCCACCGCCCCAGGGGAACAGCACGTGGCAGCTGTGACCCGGTCCCTGCGGCTTTCCCGGGCACAGGCTCCTCCCAGGGGCACCCTTTTGCTTCACCAGACACATATTTTAATCCCATGAACCTTTTCAAGTGGCTTCTTCATAACGCAGCACACTAAATCCAAGATGCCATGGCCAGTCTTGCTTTTAAAAGTAAATTAAAAAAAATAAACAAACGGGGTTGGTGCTATGGTGCAGTGGGTTGAGCTGCTGTCTGCAGTGTGGGCATCCCTTGTGGGCGCCGGTTCAAGTCCCTGCTGCTCCACTTCCGATCCAGCTCTCTGCTGTGACCTGGGAAAGCAGTAGAAGATGGCCCAAGTGCTTGGGCCCCTGCTCCCACGTGGGAGACCCGGAAGAAGCTCCTGGCTCCTATTGCGGCCGTTTGGTGAGTAAACCAGTGGGTGCAAGATCTCTCTCTCTCTCTGTGATTCTTTCAAATAAAATAATTTGTTAAACAAAATAAACTTGTTTTCTCGTGTTATCTGAAAGGCAGACATCTGCTGGCACACGCCCCAAACGCCCACAACGGCGTGGGCCAGGCTGAAAGCAGGAACCCAGAGCTCAGTGCAGGGCCCTGATGGGCGTGGCAGGGCCATCCCTGCTGCTGTGCCCGGGAAACATTAGCTGGAAGCAGAGCCGGGGCTTGGACCCAGGCACTGCTGATGTGGATGTCAGTGTCCCGAATGGCGTCGCAGCCCCGTGCCCACCACCATGGCTACTTGTGCTGAGGGTGCGGTTGAAGGTAGTGGCTGTTATCCCGAATTCATTGAAGGCAAGATAGGCGATCCCGGACAAGGCGCCACTGCGAGTGGCCTGCAAACGGTGACTTTGGGAAGCAGCAGACGTGAGGACTGGTTCCCAGACACCTGTGACCCTCAGTGCTGGCGTGGTTGCCTCTCCCGCCCTCGGAGCCGGCGTCCTTGTGGGACAGAGTCAGGACAAGGCTGGACCCGGCCCTGCCCATCTCCTTGAGGGCACTGCATGGACAGGTGTTTAATAACGACAGCTGTGAGGAGGACGGGGACAGGGCGGCAGGCAGAGGCCAGCAGGGGAGACCTGGGCAGTGAGGGAAGGGGATGCACCTGCCGGGTTTCGAGCTGGGGCCGGTGTGTGTGCTTTTTTCTGACTTTGGGGAGGATAAAGTTATGCAGATTTTAATGTCGGGTGACCGGAGCTGGCGCTGTGGCACAGTGGGTTCAGCTGCCGTGTGCAATGCTGGGATCCCACATGGGCGCCCGTTCAGGTCCCAGCTACTCCACTTCTGACCCAGCTCCCTGCTAATGCATCTGGCAAAGTGGGAGAAGATGGCCTGAGTGTTTGGGCCCGGCCACCCACATGGGAGACCAGGACGGAGTTCCAGGTTCCTGGCTTTAACCCGGCCCCGCCAGGTCATTTGGGGAGATGAGCTCTCTCTCTCTCTCACTTTCTTACTGTCATTCTGCCTTTCAAATAGAGCTTTAAATATATGTATAAAGAACTGCCTCTCTCGTACATTCTACCACGTGTGGCTACCACCTTCTGCCCACCCCTGCGGCGTGGTGGTCGGCGTGGTGGACGTGGTGGGGGATGGCATGCACCTTCTGCATTAAGCATTTGAGTCCCTGCTTTCAATTCTTCGGGGAACGCCCCAAGGCCGGCCGGGTATTTTCCATGTCTGTGGCCCGTGGTTTGTCCCGGGGAGCTGGTTACAGATGATGAAGCGGAGGCATAGTGGTTGGTGTTTTGCGGGGCCCGGCCAGGTGAGAGGCTGTGCAGTGCAGTGGTTAAAGCCAGGCCCATCTGACTCAGAGCCTGGCTTCAGCCTGTGGCCTCGGCGCCACACTGGTGAGCTCACTGGTACCTGAGAAGCAGCTGCAGGGCGTGGGAAGAGCCCCTCGGGGCAGAGGTCTCGGCTGGGAGCTGGGAGGAGGGATGCCCCGGCCTCTGGCAGGTGTGGGTCCTGGGGTGCAGGCGGCCACAGGCAGAACCCCCTCTCTGGCACCCCCCTGGACGTGGCGTGGCCTGAGGGCACTTGCCCTCCTCAGGGGCTCACAGATCCAGGTCCTGATGCTGATCGCTGTACCCCAAAGTTCTGTACCCCTGCTCGGGGAAACAGGAGCCCTAGGAGCAGGCTTCCTGTGGGGCCCACCGCGGTGGGCAGCTGGTGGGGAGGGGATGGGATGGGCGGAGGCTGAGGGGGTGGGGTGTGCTGCGCCAGGCCCGGCCGCTGCAGTCAGTGAGCGTTGGCTGAGCATCACTCAAGTGGCCAAGGAGGGAAAGTGCAGAGCTGAGCGGCAGTGACCACTCCGGGCTCGGACTCTGGGTCTGTCACCAGAGGTGTACACGCAGAGGCTCGAAGACTCTGGGGCGGGGCACGCAGGGTGCTGGGGGCCCGAGGCATGAGCCGTCCAAGCCCCGAGAACTCACCTGGTGTGGAGGCAAGGACGGCCCCGGCCGGAGGTTGCCCACATGCAGCCCAGCTGGTGCACACCAGGCCTTTAGAAGACGGGCGGGGGTTCCCAGTGGCCAGCTGAGGCCAGGGCTCCAGGCGCCCGTGACAGTCCCGCCAGGCCACCCCGGCGGAGCGCGAGGCCCAGGCGGAGTGTTGTCAGGTCCGTGGTTTTCCTAGGGCACTGGCGGGAGCCCCACTGGTCACCGCACTTTGACCTGGATGCGTGAGTTCCCGCTTTGCAGAGCGTGGCACGGGGGAGGGTGCAGGAGACACTTCACCCTAGGAACGTGGGGCTGGTGTGTGGTGCAGGGTGAGCCACGGCTCGCAATGGCTGCCTTGCTTCGGATCCAGCTCTCTGCGTAATGGGCTGGGAAAACACCAGAAGGCGGCCCAAGTGCTGGGCCCCTGCGCCCCCATGGGAGCTCTGCACGGAGCTCCTGGCTGCCGCCCCAGTCGCTGCAGCCATGCGGGGAGTGAAACAGTCGATGGAAGGTCTCTCTCCCTCTCTGCCACTCTGCCTTTCAAATAAATAAAAAATCTTTAAAATGCAACAGTGTAGGCACGGGGTGGAGGGGTGCTTGGCAGCCTGGGAAGTGGCCTGTGTGTGTGTGCACTCCCTTCAAGCTACTCCTTAAGTGGACCAGTGCGTCTTCTGTGAGACGAGTGTGTTGGTGACGAGGGACACCCTGTCCTGCCGGGTGCATCTCAGAGACCCAGGGCACCACCGTGACTGCTGGCCACTGTCACACCCAGAGGCTCCCTGGGGAGTCCTGCGTCCCGTACCCCAGACGCCCCGAATTCACAGCGATATGCGGAAGAAGGTTCTCGGAGGACTTTTATTTTAATATTGAATATGTCACAAGATTTAATGACCAAATTAGTCATTTACATTTTTCAAAGGTATCTAAATATAAAACTGCTAAAAATTCAAATACAGATAGCAAGCTACAAATAATATTTCTCTTGTCTCCGGGGCAGGTAGGAATGGAAGACGTTAGAAAAGGGAGCTGCTGTGGGCGGGACCAAGGTCAGACTCAGAGAGGAATTCAGCAGGATGACCTGGGCACACCTCTTCCTGTGCGACAGGTCACACGTCCGCGCGGAGAGACAGCCGGCCGGGCCCCCGCGGGGGACAGACAGCAAGCACGTCACCACAGCAGGAGCCCTGGTGAGGCTGGCAAGGTCCGCAGAGGCATCTGGTGTGGCCAGCAGAGTGTGGGGTGGAGGGTGCCTGGCTCCTTGTCGTGCCCGGAGCGGGATGGCAGGGCCCGCAGGGCTCCCTCTGCGGTGACAGCCGGCGGCGTCAGCCACTCGAGCAAGGGGCAGGCACTGTGAGGCGGTGAGGGAAAGGAACCGCCCCGGTCCCCAAGGCAGAGTCCAGGCCCCGGCGGGGGCCCTGCAGGCCTCGCGGGCCGTGGGCGCTTCCACTTGCTGCTTAGGTAACAGGAGCGACCGCTCTGGCTGGGGTGAGCGTCGCCCTCCCTCGCCCGGCGCCTGGTGCCCGTGGCAGGGAGCGGGAGGCCCGCACACGCGCTGGGCCCTGCGCCCTAACTTGGAGTCCGACGATCCTCGCAGCAAGTGCACTCATTTAAACAAATGGCATAGTTAAAGGTATTGACTAAGCCCTAAACATTTCTTCTGAGAAATCGAGCCATAGCTTTTCCAATCTGCCTGTTCAATATGGGAACAGATTTTCAAGAGACTAACATAATCAATCCTCCGCCCCAAAGAACGGTCCGTCATACCAGCCGTGATAAAGAGTGCGCCTGTTTATTAAAAGGAAAAAAAAAAGAAATGTACATTTTTGTTCTTCATTTGCCTTAAGAAATTTGATCGAGTCGCACGGAAATGTCTGGGCACGGCTATGTTCAGCCTCGGCAGGCGCCGGGCAGCGCCACTGCCAATCACGCTGCGGTCCGTGGCCACGTGCTCAGCGCTCCAGCCTAGGGCGCCCCCCGGCCCTGCGCCCTCCCCGCGAGCCCGTGAGCCGGGGAGCGGCCTCCCCCCAGGACAGCGGGACGCGGGGTGGGGGCCAGGCGCCGGGCGCCGGCCGCAGACTCAGGCTGGGGGCCCCGGTCACTGCTGCACGGACTTCTTCTCCCTCTGGAAGCTGAAGCTTGTGCGCCTGTTCAGTTTCCTTTGTTTCTGCGCAAAGTAGTCAGCGCGGGCAGTGCTTGCTCGGGATTCCAGGATGTAGTTAACCTAGAAAGCAAGAGGACAGAGCCGGTCACTCGCCAGCCGCTCCCTGCTCACCCAGGGCAAAGAAAGGGGTGGCACAGGAGGACCTGCCTGGGCTGCGTGCCTCAGGACCAGGTGCGCGCTTGTGGCTGGAGTCCAGGCGTCACGGCCACCTGGCCGGCTGGGCGCAGAGCCCCTGTTTGTGACTGAGGAGATGAGGGGCCCGTCCAGGCCTCCCAGGCGCCGGGTGGGGCTGCTTTTCTGATTCCCGAGCCTTCATTCTGGCCCTGGCACAAGCCGCCTCCCAGAGGGCTGTGCACTGAGCTTCCTGGTTCTGCTCCCGGCCTGCTCTGGCGCCCTGGTGTGCACACAACCTGCCTGGGTCTCAGGTCACGGGGAAGAACAAGCCAAACAAGGCCCCAGTTTCCCCGGCGTCGGGCACGATGGGGGCACAGGGCAGGGCGCTTCCTTTGGTACCATAGCCCCCCTCACCCCCTAGCTCACTTAACAAGAAGCAGAGTATGGCTGGGGGCTGCGGCGGGGTGGGAGTTGCAAAGTGGCCAGGTCACCCAGAAATCAGCGTCAGAGCTGAGAGGGGCCACGAAAGCCGTGCGTGAGTGTAGGGCGCATGGCCAGGGCTGCCTCCCCGCACGGCTCAGGCCTCCCGCGAGCCCCCCGGGACCCTCTCCCAGCCACACACAGGCATCCACACACTCTGCCTGGCAGCTGGACACACTGCACTCACCAGTGCCTGCAGCACGGAGGACCTGCGTGGCTGAGCCTGGCCCTGGGCTCGGTTCCAGGGACAGATGAGTGAGACTTGGTCCCTGGCCTAGGAGCCATCAGGTGCCACCACAGGTACGGGAGTGCAAAGGAATGGGGTGAGGGGCGTCGGGGAGGCACGGGCCAGGGCGGCTCGCAGAGCGGGAGCAGGAGCTGGCTTCTCAGGAGTGTTTGGGTGTACAAGGGCGAGCGAGAATGAACACGCGTCAGAGCACGTGGGGACACAGCAGGGGGTGGCACTGCAAGTGCAAACGCTGAGCGAGTGGGGAGGACCCAGGGAAGGGTGCTGGATCCGACCCAGGCCCCCCAGTGGGGCTGGAGCCTTGGCTGGGTGGCTGCCTGTCAGGATTAATTCCCGTAATCCTCACGAAAACCTTAGGAGACGGGGTCACTGTCACCCTCACTGCAGGGGTGAAGGAGGCAGGGACACGAGCGCTCCCAGCCTCCCTGACAACGCTCCTGTCGCTGGCCCTGCCGGCCTTGGGCTGGGCCTTCCGCGGACGGCTCTCCTCCGCGTGGGCTGCATGCAGGCGCAGAGGCAGGGCGGGGCGCCCACGCCGGCCCCCAAACTTTCTGCTCTGATAGCCACCAGCAGCAGGCGTCAGAGGCTGGCGCTGCGTGCAGAAGGCCGGCCATGCTCGGCCCGCCGCCTCGCCAAGTTACCAGCTGAGAGCCATAAATCATGCAGGCCGTGGGGCCGGCCTGACTGTTTGGGACGGTGCAGACTGTGCGGGGATAAGAGGTTTTATCATTCTTAATAAAAGCCATCTTGGATGACACTGTTTGCACACTCAGCCAGCCTAGTGTATTTCTGGCACATGGAACTCGACAAACGCCTTTCACAATGATCCCTAACATGCCAACTGCTTCCGGAATTTATTATCCTCCGTGCTTTGTGATAATCACATAGATAATTTTAATGGAAGATTAATGTAATAATCAAAAGATAAAAATGCCCTTTGGTCTACCATTAGCTGGTTAATATGCTGTGGCTTAAAACTTGCACAATTTTATGCACTATAGAGTGTTTCACTTTCAATGCATTTTACAGCTTAAGGCATAAAAATATAGGGAGTTTTCATGGTCAATAAAGCCACAGCCTCCATCACCGGATCACGAGAACGCGATGTGAAGAGCCCAATGCTTCCTCTGAGATTCATCTCCGAGCCCGCGGAATTCGGGACCACACACAGCCTGGCTCGGTTACATCTGAGAGAGAAGAGGGCCCCCACACGTCCTCAGGCCTCGCTTCAAGCTCAGGTTCCGCCCTCGTGTGCGCTGTGGCCTCGGGCCTCCCCAGCTCCTCTTCTACAAAACAGGGACAACAGTGCACTCTCCCCGGGCAGCGGGAGACGGGATGAGAGACTGGACGCGAAGGGTCTGCTCCCCGGTCGGCGCTCAGGCCGGGGGAGACATCGCCGTCTCCACGGGTCCAGCGACGCCGATGGGGCCCTGGCCCTGGTCTCCTCCCTCCCAGTGCAGGCTGGCGTTCTGGTCTTAGGCGACGCTTCTGAGTCCACGGCAGCCACAGGCACCGCTGTCCCCAGTCTGCGCCCCAAGGAGCCTCTGTTGGCAAGGCTTCTGCCGAATTCCGGGACACTCGAGGCCGGGCCTCGGTCACTTGGGGCTGGTGCGCGGCTCACAGGACACATGACACCATGACACCAAGGGGACGGCTGAGAAGCGACACAGCTAGCTTGTTGTGGAAGGCAGAGCTGGCACCGCCTGCGGGACCCTCAGCCGCTCGCCGCACAGCGCCGTGTCCCCGGCACTCTGCCGTGAAGACAGACGTCCCGGGGGGCGGCGGGGCTCGGGGTGCTGCAGGGAAGCGTCTGCTCCGGGGAGCGCTCGGCCCTGCACGTGATTTCTCTGCACTTGATCTTCCACAGGCTCAGAAGGAAGTCATAAAGCCGTGTTTCTGTCATCAATCTGCTGTTGTGAAAATTATTTTGATGTCAGACACAGGATTATAATTTTACTAGAATCCTTCTGAAGTCTTGAATATTTTAATGCTGGCTATAAAAACAGAAGTCCAGCCCCGGCGGGGTAATGGAGTATTTCTTTACCTGGTTCCTGAACGCTTTGCATAAGTTCCTCGTGCTGTCTTGTGATGATTTGGCAAGTAACTCTTTGCTCGCTGGTGGCGAGCACTCCTGGGCAGACACCTGTCCCCACGGCCGGTCCCAGGGGGCCCTGGCCAGGGTGGTCCACGAACCCTCCGCCTTCCGACCAGCCAGGCTGCGCGTCTCAGCCGCCGGCGGTCCTCGGAGCAGCTCCATCTTTTCAGTTCTCGCCTGGCACGAGTGAGTCTTCTTGAAGAGCTGCTGGGAAGGAGTCTCCGCGGAAATCTCGCACACACCTGCTGAGGCCACGCGCGTCTGGGAGGCTGTGCCGCTCTGGCTGTGCCCATTTCTCAGGGCCAGGAGCCTGGCTCTCCTTTCATCTGGGCCTCACATCAGCCGGGAGATGGGAGGCTCCCTCTCCCTACCCCAGAGCTGTGAAGGTTCAGTGTGACAGGACCCTTCCGGCCCGCTGCCACCTGCCGCTCTGCGCTGTCCCTCAGGGTCTTAGCCACTTCTGTCACCGAGACTTGCTGACTTCCTGAGAAGGAACAGCCACCACCACAGGCCCTCTGCAGCCCCTCTGGGCTGCACTCTAGCGTCCTCTGGAGGGCGGGGCACACTATGTACCAGCATCCCCACCTCACGGCCCAGAGAGGCGGAGTGACGGCCCAGGGCCATGCACCCGGGGCGGGGGAGTCCTCTGACACACAGCTGTCTTCCCTATGATCCGTCCACAGGAGATCTGGCTTGAAGGCAGGCTCTCGGTTTGGAAGAGTCTGGAAAGCACAGGTGCAGGGCTCCGTGGACTGTGATCCCCAGAGCCGCGCGGGACGGCACCTGGCACTGCTCTGACCTCTGGACCTGGCCCGGCCCCGGCAGCCTCCCAGGCACCCTGTGCTCACCACAGGCTGCTCACAATCCGTGCCTCCCTGCTCTGTCCACACTGGTTCACCTCCGACCCCCCCAAGCCAGGCTGCGTGGCTCTTTAACCACCTCCTCTGTAGGCTCCGTCTCATTTCTCTGAGAGAACGGCTCTCTGGGTGTGCAGCTGTGGTGTCCCGGGCACTGGCCAGGCGCATGGGGCCCGGCGAGGCCTGTGGTGGTATGGCAGGTGCCTCACACTGCCAGCACCGAGGCGGGCAGGTGGCGAGCAGGTCGCTGGCATCACCTTTAGCACGATCAAGGTGAGTTCAAAACAGCAGTGATTTCCTGAGCAGGCTCCAGGAGCCGCTCACAGTGGCCGGCGGGAAATAAGTGGTGTGGAGTAGGAATAAATACACGCAGGAAGAATCCGGGTGCCGGGGGGCTGGGAGCAGCTACACAGGACGGGGCAGCGACCCGAGGCCAGCATGGCTCCGGGCGTGGGGTCCCTCCTGAAGAGCTGGCGCCGTGGACCTAGTCCCCAGGCTGGGGCACTCACCTTCAGCACGATTTCGTTGACCGTAGCAGCGTCAGATTCGAAGTAGAGGTGTTTGTAGTCATGATTGCTTAGGTACGTGAGTTTAAATATTGCGTGACCTGGAGGGGGAGAGAGAGAGAGAAGGCAGTGTGCGGGTGGGGTCGGGGCACTCCCCAGCTGGGCCTGACTCCTCGCCTCAGCTCTGGACTCCAGCCTCCTGCTGATGCACACGCTGGGAGGCGGCCATGATGGCTCAAGCGACTGGGCCCTGCCACTCTCTGGGAGACCCGGAACGAGTTCCCAGCTTTGGCTGGGTTCAGGCCGGTCCTCGTGTCCATTTGGGGAGCGGACGGAGCAGATGGGAGCTCCGTTTCTGTCTCCCAGGTTAAAAAAAACAAAAACAGTGACCTCAATCTAGATTCTTTCCTGGTCCCTTGCAGCCCCTTCAGAATGCCACTGTCACTCCAAGGGATCACTGGCCGAGGGAGGCCAGCCGTCGGTGCCCAGTGGGCAGCGTCCCCAGGAGGCCTCCTGCTAGGCACCCAGCAACAACGTCCCGTCTGCTCCAACAGAGCTCCGCGCCTGTCCCTCACAATTCAGCAAGAGCTCTCTAGTAGCGCTTCTCAGCCGTTGTCCTTTTAATTGAAGCAGCGGCCGGTCACAGTTATTAATTAATAATACATCACCCACATTACTGTAAGTTCACCTCTTTCCCGGAGAAGTCTTCTTGGGGACTTTATTTACAGTAGCTAATTTTTCAGATCTCCAAAAATAAACTGATATATGTTGTACATTTGTGGCCAGAAAAGTTGAGCTGCTGGTATTTTATCCTGGAAACATCATTATGAAATACTAATTGTGACTATAAATCCTACACTGAAAAAATTAGCTAATAATTTCTGAAAAACCTCATTTTCAGTCACTTGATAAATTTAGCGCGCTCCTGAATCGTGACACTGAAATGTAAGGATTCCTGAGCGGAAGCTAACCACTCTGTTAACAGATAGATCACTTGTTCTGGATGCGGACATGAACCCGACACCAACAGGCGTGCGTGTGTGTGTGTGTGTGTGTGTGGCCATGCTGGAACAGTCTTGTAGCTAGTGTCACCGCATGGAGGAACAGTACAGATGCACCTGCTGGCCATGTTGTGACCAAGCAGAGTCACCAACAAAGGACACAGAGCTGTGAAGGGCAAACAGCAATGTCCCCTCCAGGACGCCTGGCCGTGCCAGGCACAGACACGAGGGCCTAGGGCTAGGAAGGACCAGAAGGGCTTGGGGAGGCCCGCAGACCTGAAGCTTCGGGGTTCACTGACCACTGACAGGCGCTCTCAGAGCCCGTCTACAACACCTGCTCCCGCCTGTCACTGGCAAAACCCAACATCAACATGCGAGGGCGGGTCTCGCCTGAGCGACTCAGGTGCCCTAACAAACCTGCGCAGTTTGCAGGGGCCTCACCCCGGTCGCCGTGGGACTGAGGGCCTGTGGGCTCGGGAAGGGGGGCCTGCAGCTCCTCCGGGTAAGACCCACGTGAACAGCACAAAGGAGACCACCCCATGGCCAGGAGCTCCGAAGGGCCGCACGTCTGGGCCTCCCTGGGTATCTGGTGTGCCTTGGCGCTGTGTGTGCCCCCTCCAGTCACTGGCGCTCATTCCACATCCATCTGGGGGAGAGGGAGGCAGATGGCGGTGCTGGGGGCCCCCTCTCCGCCTCCTAGAAGCCTCTGACTTGTTCGTCCTTTCTAGTGAGAGCACGCACACCGTGACAGCACACGGCACTTGCCCGAGCACTCGGCTCGGGTCTGGGTTTTTAGCAGTGCCGAGCCACAGACGCTGACCACCAGCCTGCTGCAGCAGGAAGCCCTTCCTGCCGTTCCCCGCGCCGGCCCGCTGGCCCGCGGGACACAGCCAGCTCACTCGGAGACGCGTTGCTCCGAGCTGCCCCTCACTCCGGGAAGCCCACTGTGCAGGGGGTGTGAAGGGCACACTACATGTGATTCAGCTGCACGGTGAACTCTCAACAGAGCGGGCTGAGAAGGGAGCACATGGACACTGGCGGAACAGTTGATCAAAAGACCAAATAGCCGGTGAGCACAGGGTGGGAAGGGAGAGGGCAAACGAGCCCCTGGGTGGCAGCCCGCGGGCACTGCTGATAGGAAGGGGTAAGTGACGGCAGCAAATGGTTTTTGTAAAAGTTTGGCTGAGAAAAAAACGAGTTTTTTGAAAGAAAACGCAAAGTCTAGTATTCCAATTGATTCAAATTAAGTTTCTGGGATTGTTCGATTCTTTGGTAGTTACAGCAGGACCAAGGCCTGAGCCGTGAGCCTGGGCTAGACCTGGGTGCAAGGCAGATGTCCCAGAGCCCAGGGTTGCCAGCATCTGTCAGTCACCTCCGAACTCTCCTACGTATCTCCTGCACAGAGCAAGGGCTCAAGGCGTCCCTGTCCTGACTCTCACAGCCGTAGGGGACTGTGACTTGAAGACAAACATGCCCGCCCTGTTGAAGGCTTGGTCTTTCTCGGGCCGCTCTGCGCAGCCCGGCTTCTGCAGAGCTGCATCATGGAGTGTGCTGGTGGCGCCTCCGCGCAGACGCCCGAACTCTGCCCCTGCCTCTGAGTGCCGCAGCATGAATCTGGCTACGCAAAGACGTATTCACATTTATGCGTTTCTGTTCAAAGGAAAGCAGAGGAGAGAACATAGCACTAAGCAGGAACTTATTAGCAGCACTGATCTCAGAAGCGGAGATGTTCGGGCTTTTGTGCTACAATTTATCTCCTGCATGATGAGTTTTAACTACAAGAGGCTGTGCTGAGAAACTGGGGGCGGCCATTCTACGACTGTGTACCCCCACCAAGACAGCTCCCCTGTGCGCACTCGGCAGCTGGCCACGGCTGCCCAGCCCCGGGCTCCCACACCATGTCTGTGCCTCACCTGTCTCAAACTCTTGGGCGCCCCCCACTCACCAGGAAACCCTCAGATAACCTTGAATTTCTCTTCAATAAAATATATTAAAATTACCAAACATTTGCCAGGCGGAGGGAACCCTCCGCGCCCCAGCCCATGCACAGCGCCACCCAGGGCCTCATTTCTGCCACTCCCAGTGCTGGCGTTCTCACAGCTGAGTCAGCCTGCACACACAGACGTGAGCCTGTTTTCAAGTTCACATTTCCTCATAGCTGCTCCCTGTCTTGACACAGTGCTCGCAGCCCTCTTCTTCACTAGCTCAGACCAGGGCTGAGGTTTGTGCTTCGCTCTGCTGGGCGCCAGGGCTACTATAAAATCCCTAGCAGTACAGAGGTGATGAAGGGCACCTTTGAGGAGGTCCTGCTCGTTTCTGGTCCCTCAGGCTGGAAGCGGGCGGTTCGCTCACTGGAAGTCTTGGGGGAAGTGGATGGGCAGAGCTGTGCCTCTCCGGAGGTCCTGCTAGAGAGGCGGACAGCTGCCAGCAGGGAGCTTGCTTGCTTGCTTATTAAAACTTTATTTATTTTTTTTTTGACAGGCAGAGTAGACAGTGAGAGAGAGAGACAGAAAGAAAGGTCTTCCTTTTGTCGTTGGTTCACCCCCCAATGGCCACTGCAGTCGGCGCACCGCGCTGATCCAAAGCCAGGAGCCAGGTACTTCTCCTGGTCTCCCATGGGGTGCAGGGCCCAAGGACCTGGGCCATCCTCCACTGCACTCCCTGGCCACAGCAGAGAGCTGGCCTGGAAGAGGGGTAACTGGGACAGAATCTGGCACCCCGACCAGGACTAGAACCCGGTGTGCCGGCGCCGCAGGTGGAGGATTAGCCTATTGAGCCACGGCGCCGGCCTAAAACCTTATTTTTATTTATTTGAAAGACAGAGTTACAGAGAGGTAGAGACAGAGAGAGAAGTCTTCCACCTGCTGGTTCACTCCCCCAGATGGCTGCAATGGCCAGAGCTGAGCTGATCTGAGATTCTTCCAGGTCTCCCACATGGGTGCAGGGCCCAAGCACTTGGGCTATCCCCTGCTGCTTTCTTAGGCCATTAATAGGGAGCAGGAGCAGGAAGTAGGGCAGCCAGGACTTGCACAGGCGCCCATATGGAATGCTGGTGCTGCAGGCTGGGGCTTTAACCTGCTATGCCACAGCGAGGGCCCTGGGAGCTTCCGTTTAATGTAAGTGACAAAAGGCAGTACTCCTTGGCACCCCACGGTGGCAGAGGCCCAGGGAACTGTAATGGCCTCTCCGCCCTCCGGAGCAGAGACCGCGTCTAACCTACTTACACTTCTGCCTGCATCTCTCAAACTCACTCTCACTTTGGCTCCTTCCAATAAACATAATTAAGTCTCTCTAATTATAAAAACTCCCATGGCAATGCGGTTTCCCTCCTTCCTCTAATTTACGGAAAACACTCTTGCTAAGGTCACTTTGCCCTCGGTGCTGAGACACCCAGCGCCCCCTCAGCTCCGTCTGCCACTTCTCGAGTCCCCTCCTCCCCAGGGCCTCGGCCACGTCCTGGGACAGATGTTGTCTCCATCTCCTGCAGCCTCCCTGACCTCTCTCTGCTCCTTAAACGCTGGTCCTCACCTTTGTCCCTTGAGTCTTGTCTTGTCCAGCTCTGGCTCCTGCTCTGTCAGGCTTGCCCCGAGGGTCTAACACTTCTGTGCGGGCAATCCTGAACCAGGGACCGGGGTACAGCTGCCATCCTCACACGGCATGCAGCACGTGTCTGGAACCAATGCTGACACCTCCCCTTAGGTCAAAAGCTGCTGGCACACCTTTGGTCCCCTGGTAGTCCTGAGACGCCCACGCTGCAGCCTGTGACCCGGCTCTGCCCACCGCATGCCTCTTCTCTGGCTTTCTCACTTCTGGTCACGTCTTCTTCCCGACCACCCACAGGAGTCATTCTCCTGAAACACACCATCTGGGCGCATCACTCCCCTGCCTAAAAGTCCACACTGCTTCTCTTCCTGTCGTCCTCTGAATGAAATCCAAGCTTAATGGGATGATTTCCAAAACTCCAATCTCTAATTCTCGAACTTTTTGGTCTTAGAAGCCTTTTACACTCTTCAGTATTACTGAGAAGCTCAAAAACTTTGCTTATGTGGGTTATGACAATCAATGTTTATTGTGCTAGAAATTAAAACTGAGAAACTTGG